GAGTACAAAGAAATGATAAAGCCAAAGCCTGGGGGAAGCCACCACTTTACCTAGGAAATAAATTTTCATTTACTATGTTAAATCTCTGGTGAAGAAAAAAAGTAGCACCTCCACACAAAAAACCTCCATATTATGCGTTCTCCCCATATCCAGGAGAATACCAGCTCCATATCAAGTTTAATAGGATGGCATGTTTGGTACTGTAATTAGTGTTTATATAGAATTTAAGTCAACGCAAAGAAGACATATTTCCTCCAAAGTGCACCCCATTCAGTCATCAACAACAAATATTTACTTAGAACTGATAATACATCAAACTCCCTCATATAGGAAACATCACAGAATTTTGAGTTAACTACCATTCCTTTCACTGAAGAGATAAGATCAAAATACATAATACCACCCATTTTCATATACCATTTAAAATATCCTCCACATATCAGTTAATTTCACATGAATAAACAAAGGAACAAGTGCAGGTAAATACTATAAATACAACAGAATCTGCATTGTGGTTAAAAAAAAATTTATTTACCAAAGAAAGCCCTGAAATCTGGTTAATACTCATACTCAAGCAAGGTAAGTTTTTGTGTGCCATTTCCACGTAATCGCTTAAAAGGGGTTTGCGGTATCTTTTGTTAATAGACAACTTGACATCCAGTTCTGCAGTAAACCCAAACGTTATCAATCTTTGGATTTGAAAGTCCTTCTTGATGCACTCCTTCCTTTCACCATCCCTATCCAGTCAACTTTCTTCCAGAATCTCCCATTTGGTCTTTTCCTTTCTTTCCTACAGTCTTCATTTCTTGCCTGGATTTGCTCATTCATTCATCATTCACCAAGGGCCTGTGATTGGCCAAGCACAGAGTTAGCCCCTGGTACCTGCTCTTAGGAAGCTCACGCCATACTAGATATAGCATTATCTGCCCATCTCCATCACTAGACTGCAAGCTGTAGCAAAGGCTTTGTATCTCCAGAAGCTAGTAGCATCTGGCATACAGCAGACACTCTAAAAATGTTTGTTGTATGACACTAAATTACTGTAGCAAGCTCTTTTTTTAGGCCATAAATGTTTTACTATGTATCTTCAAAAAGGACTCTTATTTTTCTTTCCTTTTTAAAATACAAAAGCAGTATGTGTACAATGCAAAAATAATATAGAAAGGTATAAGGTAAAAAGTTAATCACCCAACCTCCTAAATCCCACTCCCACAAGTGACTACCATTATAGTTTAGTACATATCTTTCTAGAACTCTCCTATGCTAGTATATGACACACACACTTTTTTAGAACAAGTTCTTTGACAGTTTCTGACTCCAGCTTCTCAACCTTCTAAGCCAGTGGCTCAAAGTGTAGAACTTGGACTAGCAGCATGAGCATCTGGGAAGTTGTTAAACTGCAAATTCTAGGGCCCCACTCCAGACATAATGCATCAGAAACTCCGGCAGTGGGACCTGGGACCCAACAATATGAGTTTAAGCTCTCCAACTGATTCTGATGCACGCTAAAGGTTGAGCACCATTGCTCTAATCCAGTTGAGTGGGAAGCTCGCTTGAGGTCAGGAGTTTGAGACTAGCCTGAACAAGAGCAAGACCCTGTCTCTACTAAAAAAAA